CCCCCCCCCCTCCCTTTTTTTTTTTCCCCTTCATAAAACAGGTCCTTAAGGCCCTGGCAAGTCCGAACAAAGTATTACATCATGAAACACACTCAACGCTTCCTTCCATCTGGCCGAAGGAGGCCTGACCAGCATTGATTACTCCAGCATCGTGGAGGATTAACTGTCAGCTTGCCTTACTTCCACCTTTCCTCTCAGGTCCGCTGTATGAACCTGTCAGATAAATGAGAAAGAGCAAGAAAGGTAAAAGAAGCTATGGAAGATGACTCTCGAAATTTGACCTTCAATATCACGTGGCCTGTGATGGATCTTGTCCGTCTGCTGGCTGGGATCTCTGCCTTCTCCACCCTGCTTCTGAGTTTTGCCAGTCTTTCCACCATATGTGAGCGTCGTCTACCTCTGCTACTTTGCCTCCTGCAACCCACACCTTAGTGAATTTTGCCTTGATTCTACTCTGCTCCTCATCATTGGGCATAGAGTGTCTAGTATTATGCCACTTACAAAGAATCTGTGCCTGAATCAAGGTCCTTGTCTCCGCCCATACCTTCTCCCTCGGAGTTGAGATTCCCTCAATGGTTCTGCAGCACCTTCCCTTCCAGATGGCCCACAACGTTACCTTTCTGATCATTCCGAACCACGTTTTCTCTATTCTGTCGCTTCTCTACAGCTTATCAGGCAGTGTACCATATCTTCTGGTTCATTTTCTGAGCATACCGCACATAAATGTGAACTGTTGGGGTCATTCTTACTTCTTCTGATATGCAGCCACTGGTTAACCGGTAGAGCCACGTATGAAAAAGAGCCACTGGAGGCTTCTGATTTTGACCGGACGGATTTACTTGAAATTTTTCCATGGTATTTGTGGGATCTGACTACCGGTAGCGTCCTGACGTATTAACTTCTGCCATCTGTTCTTGATCGTTGGGTCGGGATCCTTTGTTTTGAGGAGGAAGTTGTATCCCAGTTAGACTGTGTATTCCTGGATTCGTTTTGGGACTTCTGCTTCTGTCTGGTGTCCAAGCCCACTCTGCTGGATCAAATTCCAGGTCTTGAATTGCCGTATATTGGGAAAGAGGTAAATACAGCCAGGGTATTCGACCCTTGCTGTTTGTGGGAAAATTGATAGGCCCTTGAGGGGCTTAAATCCTGCACCCTCACTCCCCATTCACCTGATTTCCAGGTTGAGGCTTCGCTCAACAACACCTTCCAGCCTTCTGGGATGCAGTTAATAATGGATTGTAGATTCTCGTCTCGTCGGTGAAATCCTTTGAGCTGGGAGGCGAGTTCCTGTTATGTCACCCAGTCCTTATTCTCCTCGTTCCAGCGATGGCTCACTTTCCAAACTCCGTGTTTGATCCACGATAGCCATCTCCTTCCTCTAGGGTGAAGGGATAGCTGGTGATCACTTCCGTCTTTATCCGGGTCTACCCACCTTTTTCGGCACGACTTCCCGCCATATCCGTAGCAATGCAGTCCAATATGGTGTGGGGGCCCTGGCTTTGTTTGGACCGCTTCCTCTTAGTTGATTTCTGCACCATGTACTTTGCCTCCTCTCCTTGGTCATTACTCAGAACAGACCGGAAATGTTTGCTGGTGAGGCGGTCGGTGCTAGGCCCTTTATGCTATCCAAGGCCTGTTTATTCCATGCCGTACCAGGTTTAGTCAGTAGTTTGACTATCCATTTAACTTGTAGGGCTTTGATTTCCCGTTTGGGGTCTATGATACCAAGACCTCCTCTGGCTAGTTTCCTTGTGATGTCAAGCCAGGCTATCTTTGGTGTACAGTTCTCTTTGTTGGGATCTCCTGACCACAAGTATGCTCTTGGTTTGCGTTTAAGCTCCTTGATTGTATGGTCTGGAACTGTCCAGATTGACGGTATATACCACATCATTGAAAAAATAGATGTGTTAATGGCTAGAGCTCGGCCCAGCAATGATGTGAATGTGCTACCCCATCTACCTAGTTTGTTAATTTGTTTGACGAGTATATTTTGGGCCATCTGAGGGGTGAAGCTGACTTTTGACAGCAGGATGCCTAGATACTGTGCAGGGGTCTCTGGTGTCTCCCATGTCATGTCTGCCTCGAGGCCTTGAAGCTGGGGAACCTCCTCCTCTGATAGCCACCAGCCGATTGTTTTCTTCCAATTAATCTCATTTCTGATGCAAGTCTGAATGCTTCCATTGCTCTTACTGATGCGCTGAATGACGAGTCTGAAGCTCTTATGAGGACCGTGAGATCGTCTGCAAACATTGTTACTGTCGGGAACTGTAGGTGGTGGGATGTTCCTACATTGAACTCTGGTAGCCTGTGTATGGAGGGATCTTTGCGTAGGAATGAGGCTATTGCTTCCAGCACGAAGAGGAAGATTGGGGGGGGCTAGCGGGTTCCCTTGGCGAACTGACCGAGAGATTGGATAACAGTCGGAGAGCAAGCCATTGACTTGGATGCATCCTATGGCGTCATTGTACAGAATGCACACCCACTTTCTTAAAATTCGGGCCCACTCCCATCTCTTCCATGCTTGTGGTAGAGAAAGGCCCAGTTGACCTTTTCTCTGACTTTGTTGGCTGCTTCGTTGAGGGTCAGTACCTTGTCCAGGATGTATCTCCTAGGGATGAAGTCTGTTTGGTCTATATGAAAGCATTTGTCTGCCAAGTCTAGGATTCGAAAGGCAAGAGCTTTGGCTAGGATCTTATAAGGGTTAGAAGCAGGATGGGTCTACAGTTCCTGATATCTTCTTTCTCCGCTCTTTTGTACAACAAAGTGACCACGCTGCTACTCAGTAACTTTCTCAGTCCTCCCTGGAGCCAATTGTCGTTGTATAAGTTTTTAGCAGATCGACCCCTAATAGCGGCCAATTTTTTTCTCGGAATTCTTATGTCAGCCCATCGATTCTTGGTGACTTGTCATTGTTCATACTTTGGACAACACATTGCAGTTCTTCCATGGTGATAGGCTTGTCGAGATTTTCTGCTTCTTCTTGAGATATTGTTTGTTCCAAGTATTGTAGCATCTTCGTCCCTGCCTCTCTGGTGCTGGGCGGAGTAGGCATAGGGGTCTTCATGTGATGGAGCTCTTCGTAGAATTTCTTTGCTATGTCCAGCATTCCTTCACTGTCTGCCACTATTTCAGTTGGATTTGAGAGGGTTTTCAGGCCTTCTATCGCATTGGCCTTTGAGTTTGCTTTGATTCTTGTGAAGGAGTGTTTTGACATTGACTCACTTTTAGCTCGTATTCGTTCATTCTGGCTCTTATTTGTAGTCCCTTTAGTTCTCACCATCTCCACATAGTGAGTTCTTCTCTGGCCTTTTCGAAAATATCTGTGTAAAGTGCAGAAGAGGGGTTATCAATCAGATTAGTCTCTGCAATCTTCAGGGCTGTCTCCAACGCTTACTTCCTCTGTTTCCTGTCGGTCACGAGTTTCCTTGAGATTCTAGCAACCGTTTGTGATAATGTCGAGTAGCTTTCCCAAAACCAAACCCACCTATCTTGTATGGGTAGGTAGACACCCCTCAAATTCTGCCAACACTCCTAAACCTACTTGAAAGCTAGACCCCTTTTTGACATACTGTTCGAAGCTGATTATGAGTTCGATGGGTTTGTGGTCGAGACCTATGTAAGGGGAAGGATCTCAACGCTTCTAGCTGTCCCCACTAGTGTCCCTGAGATCAAGAAGTAGTTAATGAAGAAGAAAGCAGTGTGGTTGGCATGTTTCTTTTTAACCAATGTGAAGGCTTTTGTCCCCCGATACAAAGTACGGTATGGTTAGACTAGATTGTAGTTCGTCAACTTTTGGATGGGCACCGCCTCATGTGTAAGCTGACCAGTCGAGGACCTGGATATACGATCTGTGATAGGGTCTATGGTTGCGTTCCAATCACCGACCAAAATGCAGGCCGACAGAGGGGGGATCAAATGGCCGATGTTTGTTATAAATGTCGAACTTTCTGAAGAGCCGTTCGGTGAATAGACATTGATTACTCTGAATTCTTCTTCCTTCCACCTTACATCCATAAGGCACCCTCTATCCTCTACCGTGTCCGCCTCTTTGCCCATTATCGACCCTGCCGCGTATAGGTGGGATGATTTGCATACAAGGATGGCATTTCCTTTCGTGCTTGATGTATTATCTGAGGACCATATTTTGTCCTTCATTTTTCCCAGTATCTGGGGATGCCCGAACCCCTGGATGTGCTTTTTGTTAGAATCAAGTTTCCTGGTGTTTGGGGCGAAGGGGAGGCGGGGGATTATTGGAAAAGTAAGGGTACTCTACCTTCAGACAAGGCATGTCTTTGTCAATCGAGCTGCATGAGGTGGTAGGGAATAAAGATGTGATTCCGTTTACTACTCAGATCTTGATTGTCTGAGACTTTTAACGCTAAAACCTAACAAGTAATCCAGGCAAAACTAATTCAGAAGAACTTGAGGCAGATATGTCTCTTTTCAATGGGCTGCCTGGTGTGGTAGGGGATAAAAAAGTGACTCTATTCACCGGTCAGATCTTGATTCGGTGAAGATTTGACACGTAAAACTGAAGTAGTACCACCTGGTATCTTCTGGTGTCCAAACCAAGGAGACTAGCTTCAGACAGGGGATCTCTCGTCAATCAGACTGTGTGAGGTGGTAGGTAATAAAAAATGGGATTTTATTCACTGCTCAGGGCTTTGATTCTATGAAGGTTTCAGCATTGAAAAAGTGAGAAGTAAAATTTGTGTCCTCCAGGACATTCGTCAAAATTGGACTGGTACAGGGAAGATTAGTCTGGCCCCTGCATGAGGATGACACGCATAAATTGAGAAAAGAGCCCAGGAAAAAAAGTAAAATTCGTTAGTGTTGCGGAGTATGGTGGACAAGTTTTTATCAATACCTACTTGAGCATACTCGGCTGAATTGGGCAGGTGAAGGCTCTATAGAAGCAGAATTTCAAGTCATACAAGGTTTAAATGAAACAAATCTGAAAGAGCTTTATTAACGAAACACTTATCTTCGTTAAACTGTTGTTAGTGTTCTTCTCATTTGGACTTATGAGTATTCATTCAGTGATAAGGCAGAGTCAAGTCGGTGTGTGTGTGTGTGTGTGTGTGTGTGTGTGTGTGTGTGTGTGTGTGTGTGTGTGTGTGTGTGCGTGTGTGTGTGTGTGTGTGTGTGAACCCCCAGCCTTGCACTAGAGGGTGACATGTAGCCAACCAGTGATTCTCACCAGTGGTGCTGACGGGTTCATCTGTCGGCTGACCGACAGATGACCGGTCAGGGGCTGCTGGTGGCGTGACTCTGGTTTTGGTTTGTATTTTGATTGAACGTGCAGAAACCCTCAGCCAAAGTGTCGGTAGTATTGCAGTTTTACACAACATGCCGGTTTATTTGTACAGGGCATGAGTGTACGGATGAAGTATAGGAAACGAGCATATGGATGAAGTACAGAAAATGAGAGTATGGATGTCCAGTTTTGAATGTCCATAAATTGCAACCAAGGGAGTAGACCTTGTGAATACGATGAAGTATTTGTGACTGTCCAAAGGATGAGGTTCTGACTGTTCACTGTGGGATTTCATGCCATAATTGTGATCATGGCGGAGTGAGTCTTGGAGGTTGGAGACGAGGGGATGACATGTGAGTGACCAAATTGGTTTTCTGACTGCTGTCTTTCTGAGAGGTCACCTATGTGTGGAGTGCAACACATGATGACTTTTATGATCTGACCACATCTACAGCCGCATTTGGGTTCGATTCTGAACTTCTTGCGACTTGAGTGAGGTCGTTTTAGGCAGTTCCTGCCAGAACCGTGCTGACTAATGAGAAGTATAGTGGTGATAACGTCCTTTTTCGTCCTGGTTAGAAGTACAAGTACTGTATCCAAAGTTTCCAAATATGATTGTGTATGCACAGACAGGAATCGCTTAGCATTCGATGTTGCTGAGGGGGTATGAGGAGTATCTGGACATCAGAACAATTGAATGATTGGGCACATATACAAATGGCTTAACATTTAATCTTTTTACCACTCCATCCAAACCTGTTTTGAGAAAGCAAAAGTTGCAATTCCCCGAGGCTGCCGTGAGGAAAAATAATTGTGGTACCCTTCCCCACAGAACCTCTACCGAGCCTGGGCACTGCAAATTTTGTCCTGGTGCTTGTATACGAGAACAATGAACAGTGCAGAGGGCCGTTGGAGTTGTGGTTTAAGCAACTTTGATTGACTTAGCCAGTGCCCCTCTGACTGGAGAGAGTTGTGCTTTGAGAAGGGGTTTTTGTTCCACTTTTATATACGTTCACGCCAGAGTGTATGAATGCATTTTCTTGCTGAGCTGGATTTGAGACTACGGATTTCCGACTTGCTTTTTATGGTTGTACCGGCCATGCCAAAAAGTGAGTCGCTTAGACTTCCACCAGGGTGGTGGGTTAATCGTCGCCAGGTTGTAGATGAATTTAACTGAGCAAAGGAAGGCCTGTGCATCCATGAAACGGCGGCGGAGGCGGTCAACCTCCGCACCTTGCTTTTGGACTGGTGGTTTAATTGCCTTTACCATGGAGTGCAATTGCTCTTCCGGCCTAAGGTCGAAGCTGCGGTTTGAAGAAAAGCTGTCTGTCCAATGAAGGAGGGGATGGTGTGGACTGCGAATATGTGGTCTGAATTAGTTGTTGTTATGCCCAGGCATTAGTTCCTTCTTATGATTTTGAGATCAGGTAGCTATCATGGGCCTGCTTCATTTTCGCTCTCGTTCTGCCTCCTCTCTTTTATTTTCTTGTGTGTGCATGCCAAGTAGTTTCTGGGTGCCAAAATGGGTAGCCATCAGCGTACCATGACTGATTTGCAAATTCTGAATGTGAACGGTGATGGAGTGAATGGGTGTGGATGCAATTTGAGGTCAGAAGATGGATGCTGACGGGGCGAATGGAACTGGGTATTTGCAGGGACACTTCAAGATGATCAAAGTGGGGAATCTGATGATGGCCACACATCACAAGGACACCTCTACATATGCTTTGGGACCGCATGGTACCATTGTCCCAGTGACCCCAGGATCATCGTCCTCAGCTGGAATGCACGGATTCTGTGGTTTGCCTCAGATGCCTATGCAGTCTGTCTCATCACCAATGAAGGCAAACAGTGATTTGAGGTCCTCTTCAGGCTTCATCAGAACTGTGTCTGCCACCTCCCATCGAAACCCTGTGCGGCATGTGGTACTCGGACCGCAAATGATGGGGTCCGGACAGCTAGCATCTCCTAGGCAGATGAGTTCTACATCTGTGCCTTCATCACCCATCCGTGATATGCGGGGGATGGCAAGTGGAGGGCCTGTTGGTGGATCAGTGTCTGTCCGAGGAACAGGGGCAGGCGGTGGATATCAAGGAAGCCCTGTCTTCTCATCTCTACGGCAAAATACATGTGGCCCTGGGGGAGTGGCTTCATCACCCCAGTTGTTGGGATCATCATTGACGCCTTTGGCAGTTCCTCGACCTGGAATTGGGGGGACATCGTCTGCCTCATCCACCCCACTTCCATCCCCTGTTCCAAAAAGCCCTGGAACAAATGCCATGCCGGCCTCTGCTCAGGGCGATGCTGGTGGGCAGGTATGTCTGACCACATGGACGAGGATTGCTTGGAAATTGGTGGTTTGATGTTTGGCCTGCTGTGCAGGGGCCTTCCTACTGTGATGTGGCCTTCTTTTGGTCGTTACGAGTTGTGATGATCTGGGCTGTTCTTCATTTGTGTCCCATATCTTATGAGTCTGATGCAACAGGGTGCTCCTCACCTATTGCATAACTATAGCCATATTCGGATGGTTTCTTTTTAATTTTTGTTTGCAGATGCAGTTTTCCCTTGTTTTATTATGTTTATCTGATTGCATTTGGATTCGAACTTGGGTCTGTATTTCAACAGTTGATGAGTGTACCAATTGAGCTCAGCCCGCTGGTATATTCAGACACTTTCTTTTGCTTTCATGCCAAAAAGGGGCACAACTGCTGTATTTCAACATTTTACCACTTACCTTGTCAACCCTAGCAGTAGGGCGAAATGCGGGCAGGGAATTGCGATGTTGATGTAGGTGTTGGCTTAGACTGCCAGGGTAAGTTCAAATGAATGTGGTGCATGCTGTATTTCAACATTCTACCGCTTACCTTGTCAACCCACTGATGATGTAGGTGTGGGTTAGACTACAAGGGTAGGTTCAAATGAATGTGGTCTTTGCATGTCCTACAAATGGTGAATGTGTTCATGATGCATGGTCAGAAGGAATGTGGTCTTGTGCAGAGTGGACTGCACTTTGCCTTGTTCAAGCCCGACTTCCTTACCCCTTTTCTGAAATATGCATCGATTTGTTGACAGGAAGATAGAAATTGGTGGGGCTGCTGGATGCTTCATCACAGATAGTGCACATTTTTTGATGTCCAGTATTTGGTGTGCTGAGTGCTCTGTATGGAGATTGTGGGAGCTCGGTCGCACCTGTTTATTTGTACTCGTTGTGTTCATGGAAAGATGCTCCTGCTGTGGCGCGAATTTGTTCCCCTTGGCCTGCGGTGTGGTGTGGTGGGGTTCTGCATAGTCTATCGCTGAAGTCAGCCTTGAATCTGTTGAAATGGTGAGATGTCATCCCTCCCCTCTTCTAGAAATTGTTACCGGTGAGGTGCTTGGAACAGTTTTGCCCTCTTATGCACGTTGTTGACGACCTCTTATGAGTCACAGGTGGATTCTCTGCTGTCCCTTTTTGCAGAATAATAAGGACATTGGTCTCTCTGAACAGCAGCTGGAAGCAGAAGTGCTGGGTCTGTTACTGTTGGCTCTTAGCGAAAAGTAAGTTGTCGCATGATCATTTCCAAAGATGAGAAGATGTTGGATTCTCGTGTGTTGTCTACTGAAGATTATGGGAGACAAAAATGAAATTGGGTTGATTCTATTAACCTGTTAGTAGTCCCAAGCGGATGTCAGTTGAAAAGTAGGCATCAAGAGAATCTGGAAATGAAGTCAAAACTAAATGTAGCACCGATGGGCCTTGCTGCTCAGAGTCCTTACCTGGTAAAATGTGTCTTCCATGTAGATGTACTGGCCGAGCATGCCCAGTCTTTGTGCACCATAGTAGTCAAAGGCGCAACCATCGAAACATGGAGCAGCCCAGGACGAGAACTAATGATATATAAAGGGAGGAGAGCTGCTGCCTCCGGATTCGAAACGTTGAAGGAAATTAGTGGAAAGGTAAAACGGGAAGTCTTCTGTCAACGGAGGGAGATGGGGAGTGCCTTGTGGATAATTCTTTCACCTAGCTGGAGCAGATGTGGAGGTGGAAGTTGAAGCTGCGTGTTGCCCTGCTGTAGGCGCAGTTGCTGGTCTTGATATGATGGGGGCTCTGGTCGAGTGCTGTCCTGCTGCGAGCCTACTTGCTGGTTGTCAGTGCTGGAGTCTTGTCGAGAGAAAGGCGTCCATGATTAATGGTACTTCCGAACATTAAGTGCCATGGAGTTGACATCACTCAACCTTGGGGAGAGAACGTGCAGGTCTGGGATATTTTACAGAAAAGCGAGGTTGAGTGAGAGAGAGGGGGAGGCGGTGAAAGTCCCCTTCTTGGGGATCATCAGGGGGAGCCCATGGGTTAAGCCTGAATGAGACTTCGATAACAATAGCACCGGCTTTCCATTGCTGCTTTGCTCAACGAAGCTTTGCATTATCGTCTACTGTTCGCAGTTGTTGGACTTATTCCTGGTTCATTGGAGAAAGTGTTTGATGGACGTTTGGGGTATTGTAAGCATACTCACAGCACACTGCAGCGATGCATGCACACATGGGCACGCTCGGTATGCAATGCAGTTTGTTTTATCGAATGCCATGGGGTGATTCAGGTGGAGGGGTTGATGTGGAACGGTTTTTCAAAGTCTAGGGCCTGTCTCTTATACACATCTAGATGTGTATAAGAGACAGGTCTAGGGCTGCCTGAACATACGTGGGTGTTGATTCGACGTGCCTCGTAGTTGAAAAACCGTTCCCCCACAGGTGGAGGGGTTGATGTGGAACGGTTTTTCAAAGTCTAGGGCTGCCTGAACAAATACCCCCACAGCAGCTTCCCGAAGGCAACAGAGAGTCACAGGAACAACAGAGGGCTCTTGAAACAGCAAATGTAGCTGGGATACCGGGAAACAAAATAAAGCAAAAGAGAAGGACAGAGGACAAACTTGAAAAACACCAGTTAGAGATGTTGAACCGGCAGATGTTCTCCTGACAAAAGTCCCTTAAACTTCCTTCTCTTTCCCTCGTCGGTGTCCCACTCATCTCAGTACCTGCGTCACATATGTGGTATTCACAATAGTGTCCTTGACTGCATGGTGATGTCTTAGGCATGAGAGGTCAATAGCAGCACCCCTGGCCTCCAACACCATGTCCTTCTCCCTCGAAAGCCAAACTCGTCCTGCAGTTTACCTATCATCATAACATGAAACTCATTGAGCGCTTAGGGTCTATCTCCCTCCTGATCGGCCATCTCAAACTGGATAGTAACCTGCCTTGCCCAACCCCTCCCCTGATATCCAGATTGATTATGCTGGCTGGTTAGCGTGCAACATGCAGCACCTTCTTTCTTGCATCACGACCTCTCTCACCCTCTTCTCCAGTTGACCTGGACGTCTTGTCATTGCCTAGGGTGGCATTTCTTTATTCCAGGAACCAGTCATTCTTTACCACGCTAAGAAGCTGGTTCATGCATTTCATCCAGATATCAAAACAGATGATTTCCATCCTTGTTATCTGAAACAATGCTATCAGCCTTCTCCAGTCGTCTTGTGTGTATGTTCGCAGCCAACTGCTCGATGCTCTCCTGCTCAAGTGATCCTGCCATCAACTTGTTGACTTAGTCTGTTGTGGAGCATGCTGTGCACTCTTGCAACATCCTTGCATTAAACCGCCAGTTCACTTGAGCCTAAGCAGTGCTCTTACCAGTATTATGCGGTAAGAGCATTTCGATTTGGGCCTGGTCCGGTACCAAAAGCGGCAGTACACTGTGAAAAGGTACAAGTTGCAGGCTCGCGTGCCTTGGAAGGTGGCTTTGTCAAGTTAGGCTCATGTGCACTGCTGGTTTAAACTCTGCATGTCCGATGCCCTCTCTGTGGTTTATCCATCTCCTTTGTTGTTGAGATGGCCGTCCTGGATGTGCTTTTTAAAATGGGCAGAAATGCCATAAAACACATTGCACAGTAAAATGTCCAATGGCTGGATCCCTTTCAGATGTCTCTCCTGCCCAGGCCCAGATCAATGAAGTGCTTGTCGGCCATTGCTGCCTGCTGCTTTGCCTTGAGGTCATGGTGACCTGTGCACGGGAAAATGGTCTCAGCAATGTCTCTATGCAAACCTCCTCCGCGACCATGAATTCAACACTGGAAACACTGCCCTCGGCCCCCTTCTGACACCAACTGACCCAAGGTAAATGCAAACGGTAAAAACCTCTCCGACAACCCTCCCCAACCGACCCCGTGTCAATCTCAAGCCTGTCCCCAACACCCTCTCCTAATAAATGGCAAATATTTCCCGAACATTTTGAGTCGTTTTTTATGGAATTCCGAAAATCAAGACGCATAAAACAAAATTTATCAGAAACGACTGAGGAGGTCGGGGTGTGGAGAAAATGGTTGAGGTACAAGGTGAGTGCAGTGCTGAGGGGCGGGGAAAACTTTGAAGTAGAGGGGGTATCTGGCAATTCAGGTAGGGTGAGGAGGAGAAACGTGGGAAGGTAGGTAATCATTGAAGTAGGGGTTGACGTGGGCAGGGAAGAAGGGGAGTTGGCTGATGAGGGAGGAAGGAATGCTGAAATAGGGAAGAGGGATAAGCAGGGAGGGGTGGGGGTGGCGGGGGGTAGCGGGAGGTGGGGGGACGGAGGTTAAAGAGGAGAAGGGGTCGAGCGGCCTCTGGCCATGTGCTTGGTGGTTGCTATATTGGCACCCACTTAAGAGTCTTACTTAACTATTTGGTTGCTTTTCTGTTTCTAAGTAAGTGGATGGTAGCATGCTAGCTGGTCATCCCAGAATAAGCTCCAATGTTATGTTCCGCTGCTGTTTTTCCAGGGGCCGAATGAGGGCGGGAGACCTTGGATCACAGCTCCGTATCCAGAAAGCTGCTGTGTATGACCAATTGAAGGTTTGAATGCCCTGATTGCACCACCCCTGACACTGTTTGTCGTTTCACAGCAATGTGTCTTGAAATTATGAAATTGCCTAGTGGCTGATGTCTAGAACTAGTAGTTATGAGGTCAGGAGTTCAAAAACCTATTTGATTTTCAAACCTCTGAAGCATAGCTATGCCGGACCGGACCCAGGACCCCGGGGCCTCTCAAACTCATCCGGACTTTGGGAAAACCGGAACATCCCGGAATATCCAGACCGGCCCAGATCCCCTGTCCGGGTTCCGGAAAAAAGACAAACAAAAACAAAAAGGTGTGCATGCTTACATTACCTGAGGGACCAGTGGGCAGTGTGCTGTCACTGAATCAGTGCAGCGTGCACAATGCACACAGAATCACAGATGCACAGCTTCGACTGTGCAGACTGCACATTGCGCACACAGCAAATTAAACTTTGGAGTTGGAACTTCGAACACAAATCACAAGAATCAACAGACTGCAGCTTGAAATCGGTGCTTTTCAAGGGCATCTGGAAAGTGGAAGTAGTAAGTACGTACCTTGGAAACACATGCTCAACATAACTTTTTTTATGAACAAGTGGACCTGCCGCAGCGACGCTGCGGCGAAGGACGATGACAAAAACATTATGTGAAACACCCCGGACATCGGTTGGACCCCATCTTTGCGATGTACCCCTATCGGACACCGTCCAACTTCGCAAAATGCCCCGGTAGTTGCGAACTTTTCGTAGGTGCAATTGCAAAAGGCCAAGGCCCAAACGGGGAGGCTGACATTGCGAATTTGCACACGCGGCTGACAGGGGCATAACACAAAGATGTCAGCCCAAAAGGCSATTCCACTGTRCCGAGATCTTTCAGGGACATTTTGAAATACATCTCAACTTATGGGGGTATTTGGCAAATTACCACCGCCCCAAAAAAGGCCGATGGCATCTTTTCAACATTTGGAGGAAGATATGCCAGTCCTCTCTCTCTCTCTCTCTCTCTCTTCCCGTTCGTTTTTTCTCAGCCAATGGCCGCTCATCATCGCTTGATGAGTAGTCCGGTGAACCTTCCTCTTCATCGTCTCGTGGCCTCTTCCTTGCCACACCCTCGTCCTTCCCCCCCTCTCCTTTGTTCTTCTCAGCTGTTTGCGTAGGGTTGTCCTCTCTCCACAGTCACGCCATCTGAACCGTCAACATAGGTCGCTGGTGTTTTTCTTGGCCTGCCTCTACCTTTTTTTTGAGTTTGTTGGTCAGGCTGTGCCAACAACGTCCCAGTCTCCTTTTGTGCTGCTCTCGTTGCAGCACCAGGAGGCAGTGTGTCACCACCTCCCTTCGTGTGCGCACGCATGTGCTCCTCTGTTCCCAAGGTGTGCGCCTTCCTCCCAACATCTGTTTGGGAATGCTTGAGCAGAAAGTTGCCTTCCTTCCTCAATCCACGCTAGTCCCCGCAATGACCCTCCTCAATCTCCTCCAGGTTGAATTCTTCACGGCAGGGAACAACTTCATCCCCATCTTCATCACCCCGCCATCAGCAGGTGGAACAACATCGTCACCAGCTGTGGTAAGGTTCTTCAATCGGTGCTCAGCCACCTTCACTCTGTCTTTGGCCTCCTTTTGCTCCTCCTCTGTTGGTGGGTCATCCCATTCAATAAGGTTTTTTGCCCTCTCTGGCATCTGCTGCAGCATATCAAGCAGACACATATTCCACCTGCTGTACACCAGTTTTTGCATTTTGTTCGGGGCCAAGCCATTGCTCTCTTTGGAGTGAATTGCTGCGAAAAGGCTCCAATTCCTTTCGCAGCCTGAAGCAGACGACCCTTGCCCCAGCTGTCGAATGGCATGAGGCTGCAAGTGTTGCAGCCATTGCACCAGCGCTTCCACCATGCTGCAGGGTTTTGCTTACAGACTGCATCCATGACCGCCTGCGAGCTGAACTTGCCAATGTTCTGAACCCAACAGTCGACTTCATACTCCACTTGGTCGCACACCTCCTGCAACGACGCTTTCAGCCATTTGTACATCCAGGTGTAAAATCCATCTTGGATCTCTCGATCCTTGTGCGGCTCAGACGACCGGTACTCTGGATCCAAGAACAGGGCTGCACAATGGAAGGGGGTGGTCATGGCGTTCCATCTGCGCATGACCATCATCTCAATTTCCTCACGCTGATGCACTGTTAGGTCCTTGCTAACTCCCAGGCGTTCCACTATCCTGTCCATCTTCGCACAAACCTTGCTAATGGTTGGACTGTGGCCACCCAACAGTTTCAGCAGCAAAACAATGTCGTAAACGGCATTGGTTGCGTTGTTCACAACAACCCAAAAACCTGCTGTATGGAGTATGACGTCTTCAATCTCATGGAAGGTCGGCCGCTCCAACGTTGCTGTCCACCTGTCATCTGTGACCATAGCCACCAATGCTTTTCCCTGCTTCTTCAAGCGGTCCAGCATGTGAAAGTTGGTGGCGAAACACGTTGCTGCAGGTTGCAGTAACTGTCTTCCACCTGAAAGGATGTAGTAAACATCCCTGACTCCCAGGTGGTTCATGACGAACTTCTTCACGTCTTTCGCCTTCGCCACCGTTCCAGCCACCTTCTATCTTCCCAATTTCGTGCAGCATTAAGTCGAGGCAGTGTGCAGCGCATGGCACATGGAAGATGTATCCTCCACCAATCTGCCAGCTCTCACACACACAGCAGCGATGTCTATGATCACCCCAACAACACTCTTCTCGCCAACTTCAGAATCGACTCAGATAAGATATCGAAGTACGTTGCTGCTCCCTTCTCCTTGCCTGCCATGCAATGCGACTTCCAAAAAAAGCACACCGGTTGGAAAGGAGACCAGGACATTCAAGTGAGGTCTGCCTCTTTGATCAGTCCAGCCATCAAGCTGGAGCATCCATCCAGTTCGAGTCCAACTTCTCGGCTGCCGCAAAACCCCCTCCTCGACCCGAGACCGTGACATGTCCAACCTCGTCGTTTGCTGCGCGTCGTATTGTACTGGGATGAAGAACCGCTCTGCATTGTGAACCTTTTGTATCATGTGCAAGTACTTCCTGCACACCATATTGAAGGGGACTCCTTCACAAACCAACCAGTAGTCCAAGGAGCGTTGTGCTTCCTCATTCTTTGAGATGATTGCCCTGCCCTCTTCCAGCGTGGTCTGCCGTACCTTGGTTGTGGTGAAAATGCCTGTGCTGGCTTTGTTTTGAGCTGGTTGGGGGCTGCTGCTTGTCTTCCACGTCCATGTCTTCCATGCCCTCGACGTCTGAGGAGCAATCATGTGACTGCGCCTGTGACACAGCCTTTCCCAGCACCAGCGCAATTGCCTCTAGCCGCCCCCTCTCCCTCTTCTCTCTTACCGCTGCTGACAGCCTACTGCCTAGCCTGTTCACGTTGCACCTGGCCCCTTTTGTCGTGGAAATGAAGTGTTGTGCACAACGCTTTGCACTCCGAGGGAACTCCAGATCGCAGTACACTACCGTCTTCCCCCGAACACAACGCACCCCCATTTTGCCTGTATCGGGCAGGAAACATACCTTGTATACGTTCATTTTCAGGGTGCGTTATGTTCAGGGGAAGACGGTAGTTCCCTTTCCCCACCTCCCCATGCACTCTCGAAATGGCGCTTGATCGCCTCTGCACCTGCTTTAGGCATCCTGAATGTGATGGCAACGAGTCGCCGACGGCAACGGAGCAGAACAGCAAGGAAGGGGTGTCAGTCTGTCAGATCAATTGAAAACTCAGCTGCTCTCTCTCTCTCTCTCTCTCTCTCTCTCTCTCTCTCTCTCTCTCTCTCTCTCTCTCTCCATGGGTCGATGAACCTTTGCAGAACAAGAAAGACAAGAAAAAAGACAGCATTTCCCCTCCCCCCACGGGGTGGAAAATTTAGAACACGTATGTATGGGGGGGAGGGTCGACGAACCTTTGCAGCAAAATCACGTTGAAAGCCCGAAAGTCCAACGCTGTCCAGAAAGCAGAAAAGCACTGACATTCCACCAACGGAGAACCAAACCACCGAATCTGAATGTTAATGAGGGCATACTCTCGCCATCGCCAACATATGTATCCAGAGCTCTTCCCCCAACTTGGCGCTCGGCGCCCAGACTACAATCACACAGCTACTACCAGCCTACGAATTGACAATGCAACCGGTTGACGTCACAGCAAGAACCAACGTACATGAAGATGTTGACCTTGTAGACCGTCGCCAAGAACAGTTATGTGCCCTCACATCGTGATCCTCATCTCTCTCTCTCTCTCTCTCTCTCTCTCTCTCTCTCTCTCTCTCTCTCTCTCTCTCTCTCTCTCTCTCTCCCTCGCTCTCTCCCTCCCTCGGCTTCTCGACCNCCCTCGCTCTCTCCCTCCCTCGGCTTCTCGACCATTGTCTTCCACTTACACGAAGACCACCACCATCACCACTGACTATCCAAGCTGGAGCCTGGCTATGAGGGCTCAGCTATGGCGCTGCCTTCTTGCAGCGCCCTCAACCCGAACATCCGTGTGCGCTCTGCACTTGCGCTAGCGCTAAACTTGCAGCTGCCAGCCCTCGCTCCAGCAGCACTACCGCATGCACCTCCAAGTGCCCGAATCCCTCTTCCCCGGCCAGGCATTTTGATGTATGCAAAGTGGCGGGGCTGGTTTGCTTCTGGCCTGCCTCGTGTGTGCCTCGTAACTTCAGGTTGGGCCAAAGTGTCTGTGCCCAGGCCTGTTCAGACAGCGGCCTGGGACCGAATTGGTTCGGCATGCCCAACCACCCAGGCACAGATGTGCGGTGTTGCCCGCTTTGAACACGTTGCTGGAAGAGCCTGGAAGGCTCACACATATTTCTGATTCTCACGAGCAAAGCGGATGTAACCAACTGGCTGGTGGCAACTGTCTGGCGCCCACCAAGATTTGCAAAAATTGACAAACTCAGGGCACATTGAGATTCAGGGGGCCCACCATCACTTAGGGCGGGCACTCGGTTACTGCAGGGCCTTATGCCGAGCGGTGAGCCCTCGCACACCCCAAGGGGTCGACCAATCTTTGCAGCTAAAAAAAAAACGGAAAAAACGGCAGCAGTGCCGCAGCGCTTCCCGACTCCCCGAGGGGTCGAGAATTTGCAATACGTATGGGGGGCAACGGCCAGCAAAGTTTTGCAGCAAAAAAGAAAAAGAAAAAACAACACAGCATTTCCCCATCCCCCATGCTAATCTTCTCTGTATCGTTTTGTCTTTTTTTTTATAAAAAAAACACCCGTCTGGGTGCGAGGGGTGCTGAAAAAAATTAAAGAATATTTTCCGAATTGTGACTATCGTCCCAATTATAACGAATGTCCCAGCGGACCACCCTCCTCCTCATTATGTCCCCTTCCTCCTCCTCTTCAACTCCGCCCACCTTATCTTTGTCCCTTTCCTCTTCCTCCTCCTGATTTCCTTTCTTCCTACTACTCGTCATCAACTCCACCTACTTTCCTTTCTCTGAAGTTTCTCCCTCTCCTCCTCCCTCTCCTCTTCCGTTTTTTTTTTTTTTTTTGCCAAATTTTGGACCATTTCTCGATTTATGCGTGTCATCATTGGGCAGGGTCCATGCTAATCTTCTCTATGACGTGGCACCCGTGCAAAGGCCGTGCAAATCTTCTCAGTATCATCCCAATGAATCCTCCCCCCCTATCCCCCTCCCCCTCCTTTTTTGCTTTTTTCTTTTTTTTGGGACCATCTCTCGATTTAAGTGTCATCCTTGCGCATGGGCCAAGATAATCTTCTCTGTATCATCCCAGTTAAACGGACCCTCCTCCTCATGTCCCCTTCCCCCTCTTCAAGTCCGCCACCCCTTCTTTTTCCCTCTCCTCCTCCTCATCCGACTCCTCGTCATCAACTCCACCCTCCTTTCCTCCTCCCTCTCCAAGAGACTTGATTTTGTGCCCTCCATTTCACGGCTGCAAGTAACTGCACGCTCTTTGCTTGAGCTATGGCTTCCTCTACCAGCATGCTGCCTTGACGGCCTTTCCGCTGCACCACTCTGTCGCAGCGAGACTCAAAAAAAAACTACGGGGGATTGAGCGCCTTGCCGCCTGGATCAACTTGCAACAAGCGGCTCAAGAAGCTGTGCAGTCAGCAGCAATATCTGGATGGCTAAGGCGGCCTTCCCGTGGCTCTCTTCTTTTCCCTTCTTTTTTTTGAAATCTCGTTCTTCTTCTTGGCGCCCCTTTTTTTTTTTTTCACACGTGTGATGCACCATATAGGTCCATCCATAGCTGATAAATTAATAATTCTCCAATGAGGACCCTCTTTGTTATCTGTGTAGAGCTTGCATGCAAAAGATTGTTCTGAGTATTGTGAGTTTGTTGACTTTGCAGGCTAGGCATGGTGGCTTGCGTCAGTTCCTCAACAAAAGGCCGGATCTGTTTTATGTCGAGTCTGATCACCCGTTCAACCCTCACGTGAGCCTTAATTTATGGTCAGGACGTCAGCCACAGACGCCGCCTTCAACTCTTGGGGGAAAGGCAGCTTCGGGTTCATTGCACCCTTCGTTGTCATCACCGCATACACCCTCGCATTATGGAAGCAGGATAGGACAAACATCTCGTTTGGTCATTGGGCAGCACCAAGCTCGGCAGCAATTGATGGGGGAGAATGGCAGCATTGGATCTGGAGGGATGGCAAGTCTGACAGTTGGACTGACGCCAGGGAAGCCGGGAGTCTCCTCACATGGATTGGTATCCACTTGGAAAGATAATGGGCTTAAGGCTGTAGGAAGCAATGATGGAATGCAAGGTGGTTTTGGGAGTCAAATGAGGAAGGAAGATGGTCTGAAGCAGACAGGGAAACCTCTGGAGGGGATGGGAATGGGAGGTACCTGTGGTGGTACTTACCCCTGGAGGGATGGTGGACTGAGAATGGGACCTGGTTCTGAACAGCAGCAGCAGAATGTCCCAGGTTTTGTGGGGTCCATGCCTGGTGGACTGGGACTCGGCCCAGGTGCTCGTCGTAGGGAGGTCAGTGGCAGTGGCACTGGCAGTAGTCCTGAAGCGCAGCAGCACATTATTGATGGGAGGGGGGGTTGGGGTGAAGGGGTAATCAGCAAGGCCAAACTGCTCGGAATCTCCAAGCTGGTTATTGGTGGTCAGGATATGGATGTCGGTGAAGACAAGCGGATTGGGGGAAATACCAGCATGAGGGACACGGATGCAAGAGATGGAGAGGTAAGTCTTTCTTGAAAAAGTCGTGAGTCTACTATCATTTATTTAGTGAGTCACTTTGTCTGGACTCTGAAGATGAAGTTTCTGAAACAGTTTGCGCTTGTGTACCTGGTTGGTGCTATCTTATCTGTTATACGTTTCAAGCTGTACTGACTTAGTGTGATGCATGTCCTATGATGGAGAACACGTCACCTTCCCTTGTTGTTGGGGTTATTAGCTCTCTCCATTTGCTCTCAGAGTGGATCTCCCAACCCTCGATAGATTTGTCAGTGAAGAAGTGGAATGACACTGTTTTGAAGCGAGTAATGCAGCCTTTCAATGTGCGGCTCTGTTCCTCCAGGACGGATCACAAGCGTGACGTGGGGGTGTAAATCAAGACCAGATGACAGGATGCGGAGGAGCAGCAAGAGGAGGCATGTGTGTGCCCTGTCACACATGCTCGGTCTTGCTGTGTTACTGCCTCTCCCTTATCTCTCTCGTCCCTGCCTTTCAGATGCTGTGTTTCCAAGCCTGCCACTATGCACTCATTGCACTGTGGTTTTTGGTTCTCTTCATTCCTTGTCAGAGTCTATCTTCCACGTCTGTTCATCTGTTTGTGGAATGCGGGTCTTCTCCAGTGGCCGATTCCCGTTTTCCATGCTGTTGGTTTGCATTCAGAGGAGGAGGACATGTTCATGCCCTGCGCCCCACCCCCTCTCTTTTCTACACGTGTGTGTGTGTGTGTGTGTGTGTGTGTGTGTGTGTGTGTGTGTGTGTGTGTGTGTGTGTGTGTGTGTGTGTGTGTGTGTGTGTGTGTTTTCACAGCTGCACTTATGCGTGGCACTATGCACTACCCTGCTTTGAGCCCCCTTGTTTCCTATTGCAGAGTATAGCTAACCTTAACATCTCCTGACAGTGATTTAATGCTTATATGTGTGTGCAGGGACTATCACTTTCTTCCCTGACCCCGAAGGGAGAAGGGGTGGCTAAGGCTCCGGGTGGGGGAATGTCTCCTCAAGTGAAGTCATATGGCAAGCTTGTCTCCCCTATAGGTAACCAGGGTGGAAGAATGGTGCTAGGAAGCCCAGGAGGAAGGCATCCCTGGCTCGGTAGGGGAAGAGGGTCAAAGGATGAGGGTTTGCGATCATCTTTTGACAGCTATGGGGAGATGGAGAGCCCTCGGGGATATGCAGAAAGGTAATCTCACAACAATGTGAGGAATTTGTTCTGCTGGTTGTGTGAAACAGATTGCATATCTCATTATTAAAGGCAGTAGTTAAACCACCAGTACTTCCTAGATTCGTGCCCGTTAACGCGCCTCAATTTTAGGAAACGTACAGGCCACTACAGGTGCGCCCAAATTCATCCAACTAGAAACGTTTCTACTCTATTTTTTCCCGCAGCCGATAGCTGGGCCAAGTACTGGTGGTTTAAGAGGAACTGACAAGAACACTGTTTGTATGGAGGAGGACAGTGTTGCACACCCCGACAGTCGGTGCCCCTTGACTGGTTGGCACCTACTGGTCGGGGGTCGTCGGC